AATTCACCATTTTCACCAGGACCTAGCGACTACCAACATCCAGAAATACATTTGAAAAGGAGAATAACAATGCTCACTGTTTCCAGCAGATGGCCCTCTTACTCTGTCCCATACTGTGAGAGTGAGTGCTGAGTGCACTCAATAAAGATTCAAAACCAGAATCAAAAAACTCAACACAAACTATAGAGAGATTTAGTAGGCTAATTGAATATGCACCTGAGAAGAATACGATTACATTTCAGCTAAGCATTCAGCACCACCATCATCCTCCAGCAGCTGATTTGTAAACTAACAAAACTTGGCCTCAGCCCCTCTCTCTGCAACTGGCTGCTGGACTTCCTCACTGCCAGACAGCAATCTGTACGGGTCGGCGAAACACATAGGACACCATCACGCTGAGTACAGGGGCCCCCAAGGATGTGTGCTCAGCCCCCTGTTCTACACCCTGCTGACCCACGACTGCACACCCACCTACAGCTCCAACTACTTCCTCAAGTTTGCGGATGACAGAACTTTGGTGGGTCTCATCAGCAACAACGACGAGACCCACTACAGGAAGGGGGTGAACCAGCTGGCCTCGTGTTGCAAAGAAAACATTTTTTGTATTCTATATATGTATCTATGTTTGATTATGTATCCAAGACCGATCTCCGGACTTTGAGCAGCAATATGTCGGTCTGATTATTTATGCTATCAGATACAATTCTACGTTTATTGTGTTACCAATTTTACCTCCCCCTTTATTGTACATATTAAAGCTTTTGCGATGGCCGGGAATCGAACCCGGGTCAACTGCTTGGAAGGCAGCTATGCTTACCACTATACCACCATCGCCTTGTACTGCCCAATTGATGGTGGTATATTGTTTTTTTAACAGTCAATCAAAACCATAGGATACATCTGCAAAGAATGGACTGTAACAATGAGTACCCTCTCTAAATTCACAATTTTCACCAGGACCTAGCGACTACCAACATCCTTTTGTTAGGACTACTATCAAAATACATTTGAAAAGGAGAATAACAATGCTCACTGTTTCCAGCAGATGGCCCTCTTACTCTGTCCTATACTGTGAGAGTGAGTGCTGAGTGCACTCAATAAAGATTCAAAACCAGAATCAACAAAACTCAACACAAACTATAGAGAGATTTAGTAGGCTAATTTAATATGCACCTGAGCAAGAATACGATTACATTTCAGCTAAGCATTCAGCACCACCATCATCCTCCAGCAGCTGATTTGTAAACTAACAAAACTTGGCCTCAGCCCCTCTCTGTGCAACTGGCTGCTGGACTTCCTCACTGCCAGATAGCAATCTGTACGGGTCGGCGATAACACATAGATCTGCTCAGCCCCCTGCTCTACACCCTGCTGACCCACGACTGCACACCCACCTACAGCTCCAACTACTTCCTCAAGTTTGCGGATGACAGAACTATGGTGGGTCTCATCAGCAACAACGACAAGACCCACAACAGGAAGGGGGTGAACCAGCTGGCCTTGTGTTGCAAAGATAAACTTGTTTTGTATTTCTATATATGTATCTATGTTTGATTATGTATCCAAGACCGATCTCCGGACCTTGAGCAGCAATATGTCGGTCTGAATATTTTATGCTATCAGATACAATTCTACGTTTATTGTGTTACCAATTTACCTCCCCCTTTATTTGTACATATTAAAGCTTTTGCGATGGCCGGGAATCGAACCGGGTCAACTGCTTGGAAGGCAGCTATGCTTACCACTATACCACCATCGCCTTGTACTACCCAATTGATTGTGGTATATTGTTTTTTCAACAGTCACTCAAAACCATAGGATACATCTGCAAAGAATGGACTGTAACAATGAGTACCCTCTCTAAATTCACCATTTTCACCAGGACCTAGCGACTACCAACATCTCTTTTGTTAGGACTACTTATCAAAATACATTTGAAAAGGAGAATAACAATGCTCACTGTTTCCAGCAGATGGCCCTCTTACTCTGTCCCATACTGTGAGAGTGAGTGCTGAGTGCACTCAATAAAGATTCAAAACCAGAATCAACAAAACTCAACACCAACTATAGAGAGATTTAGGTAGGCTAATTTAATATGCCACCTGAGCAAGAATACGATTACATTTCAGCTAAGCATTCAGCACCACCATCATCCTCCAGCAGCTGATTTGTAAACTAACAAAACTTGGCCTCAGCACCCTCTCTCTGCAACTGGCTGCTGGACTTCCTCACTGCCAGACAGCAATCTTGTACGGGTCGGCGATAACACACTAGATCTGCTCAGCCCCCTGCTCTACACCCTGCTGACCCACGGACTGCACACCCACCTACAGCTCCAACTACTTCCTCAAGTTTGCGGATGACAGAACTTGGTGGGTCTCATCAGCAACAACGACGAGACCCACTACAGGAAGGGGGTGAACCAGCTGGCCTTGTGTTGCAAAGATAAACTTGTTTTGTATTTCTATATATGTATCTATGTTTGATTATGTATCCAAGACCGATCTCCAGACTTTGAGCAGCAATGTCGGTGTGATTTGTTATGCTATCAGATACAATTCTACGTTTATTGTGTTACCAATTTACCTCCCCCTTTATTTGTACATATTAAAGCTTTTGCAATGGCCGGGAATCGAACCCGGGTCAACTGCTTGGAAGGCAGCTATGCTTACCACTATACCACCATCGCCTTGTACTGCCTAAATGGTGGTGGTACATTTTTCTTTCAACAGTCACTCAAAACCATAGGATACATCTGCAAAGAAAGGACTGTAACAATGAGTATGGAATCAGCTTCCAGTTTGTGTTCGGGCGGCAGACACCCTATCCGTTTTTAAGAGTGCGCTTAAGACCTTCCTTTTTGATAAAGCTTATAGTTAGGGCTGATTAGATTCAGCCCCTAGTTTTGCTGATATAGGCTTAGTTTGTTGGGGACATCTTACTTCTTCCTTCTCTCTGTCTATACTTGTGTACTCTCATGTTCCGATTAACCCAGCTTCCCCAAATGTCTTTCTTTTTGGTGTCTGTATACGCCGGGATCCGGAGTCATGGATAATCCTGCGCTCCTCTGTCCTGGATCTTGAGTCGTGGCTGTGGTCCTGGATCATAGGTCCTGGATGGATATCCTCGTGGATTCATCTTCCTATTATACACACATGCATTTCCAAACATTTGGACTACCTATGTTGCAAATGTATTATCTTTTCAATTTACACACGGCATCTATTGCACGTCTGTCCGTCCTGGGAGAGGGATCCCTCCTCTGTTGCTCTCCCTGAGGTTTCTCCCATTTTTCCCTTTAAACTGTGGGTTTTCTTCGGAAGTTTTTCCTTGTACGATGTGAGGGTCTAAGGACAGAGGGTGTCGTGTTGTCATACTGATATTTTGTACAAACTATAAAGTCCACTGAGACAAATGTAACATTTGTGATATTGGGCTATATAAATAAACATTGATTGATTGATGAGTACCCTCTCTAAATTCACCATTTTCACCAGGACCTAGCGACTACCAACATCCAGAAATACATTTGAAAAGGAGAATAAACAATGCTCACTGTTTCCAGCAGATGGCCCTCTTACTCTGTCCCATACTGTGAGAGTGAGTGCTGAGTGCACTCAATAAAGATTCAAAACCAGGAATGCACAAAACTCAACACAAACTATAGAGAGATTTAGTAGGCTAATTTAATATTGCACCTGAGCAAGAATACGATTACATTTTCAGCTAAGCATTCAGCACCACCATCATCCTCCAGCAGCTGATTTGTAAACTAACAAAACTTGGCCTCAGCCCCTCTCTCTAGCAACTGGCTTGCTGAGACTTCCTCACTGCCAGACAGCAATCTGTACGGGTCGGCGATAACACATAGGACACCATCACGCTGAGTACAGGGCCCCCCAAGGATGTGTGCTCAGCCCCCCTGTTCTACTACCCTGCTGACCACGACTGCACACCCATCTACAGCTCCCAAACTACTTCTCAAGTTTGCGGATGACAGAACTTGGTGGGTCTTCATCAGACAACAACGACGAGACCCACAACAGGAAGGGGGTGAACCAGCTGGCCTCGTGTTGCAAAGATAAACATTTTTTGTATATCTATATATGTATCTATGTTTGATTATGTATCCAAGACCGATCTCCGGACTTTGAGCAGCAATATGTCAGTCTGATTATTTTATGCTATCAGATACAATTCTACGTTATTGTGTTACCAATTTTTACCTCCCCTCCTTTATTTGTACATATTAAAGCTTTTGCGATGGCCGGGAATCGAACCCGGGTCAAAACTGCTTGGAAGGCAGCTATGCTTACCACTATACCACCATCGCCTTGATTACTGCCTAAATGGTGGTGTTACATTTTTCTTTCAACAGTCACTCAAAACCATAGGATACATCTGCAAAGAAAGGACTGTAACAATGATACCCTCTCTAAATTCACAATTTTTCACCAGGACCTAGCGGGACTACCAACATCTCTTTTGTTAGGGACCTACTTATCAAATACATTTGAAAAGGAGAATAACATGCTCACTGTTTCCAGCAGATGGACCTCTTACTCTGTCCCATACTGTGAGAGTGAGTGCTGAGTGCACTCAATAAAGATTCAAAACCAGAATCAACAAAACTCAACACAACTATAGAGATATTTAGTAGGCTAATTTAATATGCACCTGAGCAAGAATACGATTACAGTTTCAGCTAAGCATTCAGCACCACCATCATCCTCCAGCCAGCTGATTTGTAAACTACAAAACTTGGCCTCAGGCCCCTCTCTGCAAATGGCTGCTGGACTTCCTCACTGCCAGACAGCAATCTGTACGGCGTCGGCGATAACACATAGATCTGCTCAGCCCCCTGCTCTACACCCCTGCTGACCCACGACTGCACACCCACCTACAGCTCAACAACTTCCTCAAGTTTGCGGATGCGACAGCAACTATTGGTGGTCTCCATCAGCAACAACGACGAGACCCACTAACAGGAAGGGGAGGCGTGAACCAGCTGGCCTTGTGTTGCAAAGATAAACTTGTTTTGTATTTCTATATATGTATCTATGTTTGATATGTATCCAAGACACGATCTCCGGACTCTTTGAGATAGCATGTATCAGTGTGATTATTTTATGATATCAGATACAATTCTACGTTATTGTGGTTACCAATTTTACCTCCCCCTTTTATTTGTACATATTTAAAGCTCTTTTGCGATGGCCGGGGATCGAAACCCGGTGGTCAACTGCTGCTTGGAAGGCAGCTATGCTACCCACTATACCACCATCGCCTGTACTGCCCTAAAGGTGATGGTGGTATAATTGTTTTTTCAACAGTCACTCAAAGGCCATAGGATACATCCTGCAAAGAATGGACTGTAACAAATGAGTACCCTCTCTAAATTCACAATTTTCACCAGGACACCTAGGACAGCGAACTACCAAACATCTCTTTAGACTACTTATCAAAATACATTTGAAAAAGGAGAATAACAGGCTCACTGTTTCCAGGCAGATGGCCCTCTTACTCTGTCCCATACTGTGAGAGTGAGTGCTGAGTGCACTCAATAAAGATTCAAAACCAGAATCAACAAAACTCAACACAACTATAGAGAGATTTAGTAGGCTAATTTAATATGCACCTGAGCAAGAATACGATTACATTTCAGCTAAGCATTCAGCACCACCATCATCCTCCAGCAGCTGATTTGTAAAACTAACAAAACTTGGCCTCAGCCCCTCTCTCTGCAACTGGCTGCTGGACTTCCTCACTGCCAGACAGCAATCTGTACGGGTCGGCGATAACACATAGATCTGCGGCTCAGCCCCCTGCTCTACCACCCTGCTGACCCACGACTGCACACCCACCTACAGCTCCAACTACGTCCTCAAGTTTGCGGATGACAGAACTTATGGTGGGTCTCATCAGCACAACGACGAGACCCACTACAGGAAGGGGGTGAACCAGCTGGCCTGTGTTGCAAAAGATAAACTTGTTTTGTATTTCTATATATGTATCTATGTTGGATTATGTATCCAAGACCGATCCCAGACTTTGAGCAGGCAATATGTTCGGTTGATTATGTTTATGCTATCAGATACAATTACTACGTTTATTGTTTTACCAATTTTACCTCCCCCTTTATTTGTACATATTAAAGCTTTTGCGATGGCCGGGAATCGAACCCGGGATCAACTGCTTGGAAGGCAGCTATGCTTACCACTATACCACCATCAGCCTTGTACTGCCTAAATGGTGGTGGTACATTTTTCTTTCAACAGTCACTCAAAACCATAGGATACATCTTGCAAAGAAAGGACTGTACCAATGAGTACCCTCTCTAAATTCACCATTTTCACCAGGACCTAGCGACTACCAACATCCAGAAATACATTTGGAAAAGGAGAATAACAATGCTCACTGTTTCCAGCAGATGGCCCTTTACTCTGTCCCATACTGTGAGAGTGAGTGCTGAGTGCACTCAATAAAGATTCAAAACCAGAATCAACAAAACTCAACACAAAACTATAGAGAGATTTAGTAGGCTAATTTAATATGCACCTGAGCAAGAATACGATTACATTTCAGCTAAGCATTCAGCACCACCATCATCCTCCAGCAGCTGATTTGTAAACTAACAAAACTTGGCCTCAGCCCCTCTCTCTGCAACTGGCTGCTGGACTTCCTCACTGCCAGACAGCAATCTGTACGGGTCGGCGATAACACATAGATCTGCTCAGCCCCCTGCTCTACACCCTGCTGACCCACGACTGCACACCCACCTACAGCTCCAACTACTTCCTCAAGTTTGCGGATGACAGAACTATGGTGGGTCTCATCAGCAACAACGACGAGACCCACTACAGGAAGGGGGTGAACCAGCTGGCCTTGTGTTGCAAAGATAAACTTGTTTTGTATTTCTATATATGTATCTATGTTTGATTATGTATCCAAGACCGATCTCCAGACTTTGAGCAGCAATGTGTCGGTGTGATTATGTTATGCTATCAGATACAATTCTACGTTTATTGTGTTACCAATTTTACCTCCCCCTTTATTTGTACATATTAAAGCTTTTGCGATGGCCGGGAATCGAACCCGGATCAACTGCTTGGAAGGCAGCTATGCTTACCACTATACCACCATCACCTTGTACTGCCTAAATGGTGGTGGTACATTTTTCTTTCAACAGTCACTCAAAACCATAGGATACATCTTCAAAGAAAGGACTGTACCAATGAGTACCCTCTCTAAATTCACCATTTTCACCAGGACCTAGCGACTACCAACATCCAGAAATACATTTGAAAAGGAGAATAACAATGCTCACTGTTTCCAGCAGATGGCCCTCTTACTCTGTCCCATACTGTGAGAGTGAGTGCTGAGTGAACTCAATAAAGATTCAAAACCAGAATCAACAAAACTCAACACAAACTATAGAGAGATTTAGTAGGCTAATTTAATATGCACCTGAGCAAGAATACGATTACATTTCAGCTAAGCATTCAGCACCACCATCATCCTCCAGCAGCTGATTTGTAAACTAACAAAACTTGGCCTCAGCCCCTCTCTCTGCAACTGGCTGCTGGACTTCCTCACTGCCAGACAGCAATCTGTACGGGTCGGCGATAACACATAGGACACCATCACGCTGAGTACAGGGGCCCCCCAAGGATGTGTGCTCAGCCCCCTGTTCTATACCCTGCTGACCCACGACTGCACACCCATCTACAGCTCCAACTACTTCCTCAAGTTTGCGGATGACAGAACTTTGGTGGGTCTCATCAGCAACAACGACGAGACCCACTACAGGAAGGGGGTGAACCAGCTGGCCTCGTGTTGTAAAGATAAACATTTTTTTTATATCTATATATGTATCTATGTTTGATTATGTATCCAAGACCGATCTCCGGACTTTGAGCAGCAATATGTCGGTCTGATTATTTTATGCTATCAGATACAATTCTACGTTTATTGTGTTACCAATTTTACCTCCCCCTTTATTTGTACATATTAAAGCTTTTGCGATGGCCGGGAATCGAACCCGGGTCAACTGCTTGGAAGGCAGCTATGCTTACCACTATACCACCATCACCTTGCACTGCCCAATTGATGGTGGTATATTGTTTTTTCAACAGTCACTCAAAACCATAGGATACATCTGCAAAGAAAGGACTGTAACAATGAGTACCCTCTCTAAATTCACCATTTTCACCAGGACCTAGCGACTACCAACATCTCTTTTGTTAGGACTACTTATCAAAATACATTTGAAAGGAGAATAACAATGCTCACTGTTTCCAGCAGATGGCCCTCTTACTCTGTCCCATACTGTGAGAGTGAGTGCTGAGTGCACTCAATAAAGATTCAAAACCAGAATCAACAAAACTCAACACAAACTATAGAGAGATTTAGTAGGCTAATTTAATATGCACCTGAGCAAGAATACAATTACATTTCAGCTAAGCATTCAGCACCACCATCATCCTCCAGCAGCTGATTTGTAAACTAACAAAACTTGGCCTCAGCCCCTCTCTCTGCAACTGGCTGCTGGACTTCCTCACTGCCAGACAGCAATCTGTACGGGTCGGCGATAACACCTAGATCTGCTCAGCCCCCTGCTCTACACCCTGCTGACCCACCACTGCACACCCACCTACAGCTCCAACTACTTCCTCAAGTTTGCGGATGACAGAACTATGGTGGGTCTCATCAGCAACAACGACGAGACCCACTACAGGAAGGGGGTGAACCAGCTGGCCTTGTGTTGCAAAGATACATTTTTTTAGTATTTCTATACATGTGTCTATGTTTGATTATGTATCCAAGACCGATCTACAGACTTTGAGCAGCAATGTGTCGGTGTGATTATGTTATGCTATCGGATACAATTATAAGTTTATCGTGTTTGCATTACCAATTTTACCTCCCCCTTTATTTGTACATATTAAAGCTTTTGCGATGGCCGGGAATCGAACCCGGGTCAACTGCTTGGAAGGCAGCTATGCTTACCACTATACCACCATCGCCTTGTACTGCCTAAATGGTGGTGGTACATTTTTCTTTCAACAGTCACTCAAAACCATAGGATACATCTGCAAAGAAAGGACTGTAACAATGAGTACCCTCTCTAAATTCACAATTTTCACCAGGACCTAGCGACTACCAACATCCAGAAATACATTTGAAAAGGAGAATAACAATGCTCACTGTTTCCAGCAGATGGCCCTCTTACTCTGTCCCATACTGTGAGAGTGAGTGCTGAGTGCACTCAATAAAGATTCAAAACCAGAATCAACAAAACTCAACACAAACTATAGAGAGATTTAGTAGGCTAATTTAATATGCACCTGAGAAAGAATACGATTACATTTCAGCTAAGCATTCAGCACCACCATCATCCTCCAGCAGCTGATTTGTAAACTAACAAAACTTGGCCAGCCCCTCTCTCTGCAACTGGCTGCTGGACTTCCTCACTGCCAGACAGCAATCTGTACGGGTCGGCGATAACACATAGATCTGCTCAGCCCCCTGCTCTACAACCTGCTGACCCACGACTGCACACCCACCTACAGCTCCAACTACTTCCTCAAGTTTGCGGATGACAGAACTATGGTGGGTCTCATCAGCAACAACGACGAGACCCACTACAGGAAGGGGGTGAACCAGCTGGCCTTGTGTTGCAAAGATAAACTTGTTTTGTATTTCTATATATGTATCTATGTTTGATTATGTATCCAAGACCGATCTCCGGACCTTGAGCAGCAATATGTCGGTCTGATTATTTTATGCTATCAGATACAATTCTACGTTTATTGTGTTACCAATTTTACCTCCCACTTTATTTGTACATATTAAAGCTTTTGCGATGGCCGGGAATCGAACCCGGGTCAACTGCTTGGAAGGCAGCTATGCTTAGCACTATACCACCATCGCCTTGTACTGCCCAATTGATGGTGGTATATTGTTTTTTCAACAGTCACTCAAAACCATAGGATACATCTGCAAAGAATGGACTGTAACAATGAGTACCCTCTCTAAATTCACCATTTTCACCAGGACCTAGCGACTACCAACATCCAGAAATACATTTGAAAAGGAGAATAACAATGCTCAATGTTTCCAGCAGATGGCCCTCTTACTCTGTCCCATACTGTGAGAGTGAGTGCTGAGTGCACTCAATAAAGATTCAAAACCAGAATCAACAAAACTCAACACAAACTATAGAGAGATTTAGTAGGCTAATTTAATATGCACCTGAGCAAGAATACGATTACATTTCAGCTAAGCATTCAACACCACCATCATCCTCCAGCAGCTGATTTGTAAACTAACAAAACTTGGCCTCAGCCCCTCTCTCTGCAACCGGCTGCTGGACTTCCTCACTGCCAGACAGCAATCTGTACGGGTCAGCGACAACACATAGGACACCATCACGCTGAGTACAGGGGCCCCCCAAGGATGTGTGCTCAGCCCCCTTTTCTACACCGTGCTGACCCACGACTGCACACCCACCTACAGCTCCAACTACTTCCTCAAGTTTGCGGATGACAGAACTTTGGTGGGTCTCATCAGCAACAACGACGAGACCCACTACAGGAAGGGGGTGAACCAGCTGGCCTCGTGTTGCAAAGATAAACATTTTTTGTATTTCTATATATGTATCTATGTTTTATTATGTATCCAAGACCGATCTCCAGACTGTGAGCAGCAATGTGTCGGTCTGATTATTTTATGCTATCAGATACAATGATACGTTTATTGTGTTTGCATTACCAATTGTACCTCCCCCTTTATTTGTACATATTAAACCTTTTGCGAATCGAACCCGGGCCAACTGCTTGGAAGGCAGCTATGCTCACCACTATACCACCATCGCCTTGTTATGATATGACGGAGGTGGTACAGTTTTTCAACATTCACTCAAAACCTTAAGTTAAAACTGCAAAGAAATTAGTTTAACAATGAGTTAACTCTTTTTAGTCACCCTTTTCACCAGGACCTAGCGACTCCCAACAGCTCTTTTGGTAGGACTACTTACTGAAATACATTTGAAAAGGATAAGAACAATGCCCACTTTTTCCAGCAGATGGCCCTCTTACTCTGTCCCAAATATAGAGAGATTAAGTAGGCTAATTTAATATGCACTTGAGTGAGAATACGATTACATTTCAAGATTTAAGTTTTTACAGGAATATTTTAGCCCACTTTTGTTAATTTGTTTCAAGAAAGGATAAACATAAGAGCATATTTACATTACACGAAGCAAAGAACCCATATTATTTTGACCCCTGACAGTTTAGCTATGTGACTGGAGTATCTGAATACCTCTGTATGTGGTTTGATTTGCATTTCTAGCTGACCTCTTGGCTATGTTTCTGAATAATATGCTTTTGTATGTTTAAATAAAAACTTTTCTCCCATTTATTTAAAGTCCCATTTTTCTACAAGCCCTTTGTTAGACCCCAAAAGTCAGTAAATGTACCACTATTCTTGTTTAGAAAAATCATTGCTATAAAGAAAAAAAAACAATATAAGTAAATTAAATTGATTTCAGGACAGCAACAATACTTCTATAGTCCAATAGGGGGAATCAAAGTAATTTTCTATTTCTATTTCAATTATTGAAAATGTTTGTATTATCATTATTCAAATGTTTATGCTTATTATTAGTTATTTATAAAAACTCAAATGAATTAAAAAAACGAGTTAAATAATCATTAGAATATTTCAACAACACATAACGTTTGTTAATAAGCAGGGCTCCGTTAGACTCCTTAGACTTTTCATGGACACAATGCAGAACAATGTTAAAATTAACTACTCTAAAATAAATATTCTGAACTACTTTGGCCTCTTTATAAATGAAGCGGTAAATTAAAGGTCCAGTTTCGGGTTAAGCATCAAGCTCTTTAAATCAATAGCTCATATTTTGATGCACTCCAATCATTGGAAAGCAGCCAGGCCTTTTGAAGGTCCTATGACGTGGTTCCTCAGTTCTCAACAAACGCATTTATGTATATGATTTATTTATCCTATTATGTGCTGTAAAGCATGATACATTGTAATGATTTTTACTGGGGTAGGTCATGTGAGCAATATTTTTAAGACACAGTAGTGCTGGTTTCTTTCTATGGGCACATTCCACAACATTTTTTTCCTCAAATATAACATCAATTAATCAAATTAACAAAATCAGTGACAAAATGTTTCATGCAAAGACTTTTATTTATGAATAGTCTGCAGTACTGTACAATAGCACACACTTGTCTCTATTTCTGATCATCACTCTCAATGATCATTTCAAATATAGACAAATATTGTGCCTTCAAAAACAGTTCCCTTTTCACAATAATCTAAAAATACCTTGTTCTGTTTTAAATATGTAGTATAACTTCTTGAAAATAAAATATACATTATATGAAATATAACAGTTGTTTATTGGATAGACTATATAGTACCAAATGCAATTATATGCAAACACACCTTCTCTCTGTGACGTCTTACGCATTTCATGCACAAAAAAAAGAGAAAAAAAGATGCCACACATACAAAAGAAACTGTACATACTTCTGTATGAAAATAGAAAATATCAAAGCATGATGTGCACCAATAGTCTATATCATGTTACAAATAACTTGCAGTACAAAAAGACCTACGAGAATGACCAGATAACACATTACCTGGAACACAGAGGTACAGGTACTGGGTTGGTAACAGGACAAAGACTCGCACTGAGCTTCCACTGACAAACTCCAGTCACAGCTACGTCTATGCAAGTCTACGACCAGATCAACATCAAATACTGGATCAAAGAGTGACAGGTTCAAACAGGCAAACCAGAAGTTACAGTTTAGCTTTGAATTTTGGTATTAAACCCAGTAAATGTGGATGTCGAGTCCCACTGCAGTCAGCATGTCGTTGTGTCCCTGCCCTGGGCAAGACACTTCACCCCAAATTGTTCCTGTGGGTATTGCCCACAGTACTGAATGTATGTAAGTCGCTTTGGATAAAAGCGTCTAACAAATTACGTGTAATGTAATGTCCAATGCATAGCATAAAGTTTAGTTTGGTACGTTTTTAAAAGTTATTGTATTGCTACCCCATAAGTGAAGTGAGTGTAAACCAATTGCCAGTTATGCCCACAACACACAAAAGCACTGATATGTCAACATTACATTATTGAACATGTTCAGATACTGTGATTAGTATTCCAACAGCACTGTTCTATACAGCATTAATATTAAGCTTCTTCAGCTGAATATTATTATTATTGCCAAAACAACTGTAACAGTTTTTGATTAAAGAATGATTACTGATGTCCAGTTTAAATTAAGATTTGTAAACGGACAATACTGGATGTGTTGCACACGAATGGAGTTCACAGAAACAGTGTGTACAAGGCACACTGCGATCAATATAGCTACATCTATCACTTCCTGCAGAAAAAGCACTTCTGAAATCACACATGAACTAAGAAGCGAATAGAGGAGAACTCAACGGTTAAATATAGACTTCTGTTAATGCCACAAAATATATGTTTTCTTATTCAACAGGATGAGAATGAGCAAAAATAACACTGAAATGACACGTTTCAGATACAAGTTGCGATTGCTGGTGCTGAGACTGACGGCGCCGGAGAATGGGGAGGGTGACAACATGAATCCCTCTGAGTGTAATCTCTGAGTATTTGAAGAGATTATCAGGTGCTCACTTGTTACGTAAAGCCAATAATCTCAGCAATGCAAACCTAACACTTGTACCAAACGATAAAGCAGACGCTTAAATTAGATCAGCTCCTTGAAATGGAGATTTACTTCTTAAATCATGTCACAAATATCCTGTATACGACAACTATATTGCTTATAGTGAAACTATTCAAGGACCACAGTGTTTATCATTGCAATCCAGGCTCTCTGAGTACATTCTCTATCACACAAGTATAAGAATAAAGAACAGGGGTTTTTATTATAAGTATTACACACAAAGACCACAATTCCAAAAATCTAGTCTTTTCTTAACATATATAAGAAAATATACATTTCTCCAGCAATTTAATGACTTAAATTGTTTGTTTTTTATATTCTTAATAAAATCTTAAAACTCTTTCTTATTTACATTTGGTGTAGGTTAATACTGATTGTAATGCAATACTGTTGCCTTCCTGTTTTTTTTCTGTTACATTTCTTTTGTATGTTGAGTAGAAACACTTTTACATTCATATTTCAACACCCAAGCTCGAGAAGGAGCCAAAGTGCAGACGGGAATAATGACATGCATTTTCCAAAAGCAAAATAAGACAACTTCAAAAGCAGGAAGTATGCTTGCTTGAGCAAATAAACTTTTGGAGAGGTGGAGAAAATGGAAGGATGAGGATGTCGAGGTTGAAAAGGCCCGAAGAATTGGCACCGACAATGCCTTTTCATTTGGCTGTAAAGAAATGCTCTCGCAGCACCAGGACAGTCAGTTCTTTGAGAAGTAATGCGTAACAATATTGAAGGGGTTACAGCTCACTAAGCCGTGAGGTGTGATGAAAGCCTTTGTTGTTGGGAAAAGCTGTTAACTTCAGAAATACAGATTTCCACTGTTGTGAAGGCAGTGTCAGAGGTTACACTCTCTCCACTCGACTGGGGTCGTAGGAGTCTGATGAGAAAAGAAAGGAGAGAAAAGATGAGAAAACGAAATCGTAACAAAACAGAACAATATTATTTGCCCTGAGGATGTGGAATACAAAGGAACCCTGTGGAGATTTGGAAGTTTGTGAGAGCTTGAGGATTCACACATTGCCTGTCAGTGAGCAACACTAAATGTTAACGGGGACTTTGTTAAAAGTAGGGGGCCAATTTAAAGGAATACATAAACATTTGATAAAATATGCTTTCTTTTTTCAGAATCAGAATCAACTTTATTGCCAGGTACGTTTACACATACATGGAATTTCCTTTGGTGTGAACATAAACAGATCTAAGAAAACAAGACGCAATAGCAGGTTTAACATTTTTTAAAGATAATACAAATAAATGTTTTTAAGAAACTATTTAGCATTAAAAAAAGAATACCAAAGACAAGTATTTACACCAAATTTAAATATACAAAGAACCATAAAAGCAACAAAAAAAAAACCATTTAGGACAAAGAATATATGGCAATATGGCAAACTACAGTGAATTATATTTTAAAGTGGAGATTATATTTGATGTAGCTGGAGTCAGGAGGAGGAGTCTAGCTTAGCATCAATATAGGAAGCACAAGGAAACAGCTTGCCTGGCTCATTCTAAATAACTCGTAACTAAAATTGGGGATGGCAAACCACATACCCACATAAGATCAGCACATAATGCATTGATATATGATGAATACACACTTTATCATCTCACAACAAAAGATACAATATTTATATAAACTTTTTTTCAGCAATTCCTTTAAAATTAGAATCACAATATCTTAATTCCTTCAAACTAACCTGAGACAGAGTGCTTCTCCTCATCCTCCATATTTGAGGGGCCACGGGTCACAGTGCTGAAGCTGACAGGCAGTGTTATTTCTCTCTTGGGAACACTGCGAGGTTTAGGAAGCAGAGGAGGCTTCTGCAGCTTTGTGCGCTGCTTTGGTTTGGGCACCTTTTTCACCTTAGTGCCCTGTGTTGCCTCAGCTCTTCTGCCCTCTGCTGTATTCTGACACTCTCTCACCTTTTCCAAAGGCTTTTCTTTGCAATCCTCAACCATTTTAAGCTCCATCTTCTCTCCTGGCTCTACTGTTTTTAATTCAACATGTACTTCTTCACTCCCTTCATTTTCTAGTTTTAGTGCAATCTCAACATTCATCTCTTCTGTCTTTTCTTCTTGTCTTTGCTCTTCCTGACATGTCCCTCCATTTGCTTCTTCTTTAGGTTTACAATCTTCTTCAGGATCTCCCAACTTTTCATGTGTTTTATGTGCATTCTCATGTTCATCTGGGTTCTCCTCCACATTCCCTGCTTCTTCCTTAAGCTTTGTATCCTCTTCCTCTGCTTGTTTGCCTACAACTTGCTCCTTTGGCACTTCCTGGACTTCATTCTCCTCTCTGTCACCATCCATTTCTTTAGAATACATTTCTTCCCCAGACTCCGAACCTTTGAGGCTGAGGCGTCTTATTCGAGATACTGAGTCCAGCTCTTTCAGGCGGGCCCTTCTTTCTGGAGTTGACATGTGCAAAGATGTAGAAGAAGCGGAATAATTAAGCTTATCGTGTATGGATTCGATTAGTTTGCATGTCCCACCTCGCCCTTTCCTCTCTACACTGCAAATGCTAAGAGTTAGCTTGTCATCAGATGTTACGGGAAGGGAGAGGGGAAGCTTATTAGGTGGAAACTCGGGCAGGTCCAGTACCACCAGAGACTGAATCCCAGTATCCTGGTTGTCTTCACCATCACTGTGGTTGCTGCTGTGGTTTTGTCTGTATCCTTCTTGGAGGTCCACTTCTGAACCTCTCCCCTCGACCTCCTCTGCCTTTGCTCCCTGAGCAGTAAGGGGCTCATCTTGGACTTGCTCATGCTCTGCTCCCTGGACAATTATGGGCTCATCTTTGACTTGCTCATGCTCTGCTCCCTGGACAATAATGGGCTCATCTTTGACTTGCTCATGCTCTGCTTCCTGGAAGATCAGGGGCTCATCTTGGACCTGCTCATGCTTTGCTCCCTGAGCAATCACAGGTTCATCTTTGACTTGCTCATACTCTGCTATCAACTGCTGTGGCTCTTCGCTTTGGCTTTGTAGTTTCTCAATGACAGTGGTACCCATATCATTAGAGTTGTCCTCTAAAAGTTTGTCAGCCACACCCAAGGCCTCCACAGGGACTGCTATACCCAGGATTCTGGCAGCCCTCTGCTCGATGGACTCATTTTCAGGGATGCCTTCTCCAAATTTCACCTCATAGAGCTTGCTGAGGTCTTCGGCAGGTAAAGAATTGGCCTTCTCCTGATTCAGTAAGTTCTCAAGGTGCTTATCTGCTATTGTTGACTCATTCTTGTAGTTCAGAGGCTCAGAGAGGGCATTTCTACCAATGACAGCATCATCCCTTAACAGAAAAGAAACTTCCCTGTTCAGCCTGTTGATATATGATGAACCCTCTTTATGTGCTGATGCACTGCTTTCACTCCTGGTTCTATAGATGCCTAAATTCACCTCGCCCCTGAATGGTGGTGATTTCACCTTTCTCTCAATTTTTACCTTAGCTTGAAGTTCTTTATTTGATTTGTGCTCAGGGCTAACGCTATTTTTAACAAGTGCTGTCCTGCTCTCCAATGGGAGCTGCATTGATTGACTAAGCTCCTTATGACCAAGTGGAGATGGGACTGAGAGTGAGCGCTGCATTGGCTCCCCAGGACCCCCAGGAGTCTCTGTGTAGACGGTTAATCCCACATCCCTCAGCAAGGACTCTCGAGGGACTGGGATATCCTGTCTATAGAGCCGGCTTGAATCATTGTGTTTTGGTAGTGAGGGTTTGAGACAACTGTCTTTGGGGTCAGGGTTGGAGAATATGGATAGCTCATTTGTTGGTGGTATGTGGTTGGCCTGTGGCCTGAAGAAAACACTCTTTAAGTCCAGTGAGTCCGAATCAGGGGTGGAAGCCAAGGACTTTGATCTGACTTTTATACTGGGTTTTTCTGTGTGCATTATTGGAAAACTGATTGCTTCCCTAACTGATTCTGGACCAGCAGTGAAATGTGCTCCTGAATTTAGGTCTAACATCTTATTCAACCCATCTAGATCGTCAATGCACTGACCCATATTGGGTCTCTTGCTGATTGTTTTTTCCATCTCCTTATTAATGGTCTCCAGTTCATCAATGGCATCACAGGGTCGTCGATTCACTGGCTTTAAGAGAAACTGACCAAAGGTCACTTGCTCGTCATCCTCCAGGGGACTGGAGGTGCTCTTCTTCGGGGAAGATGCCTGATCCTGGGCCTTTGTTTGTGGTAGAGGGTCTCGTGAGGGTTCAAGGTATGTCTGCTGTGTTGGACTGAGGCTGAGACGGGAGAAGGCGCTGTTACTAGAGGGATGTAGGTTTTTCTGGCCTGCCATGGGGTAACCATAAGCAGAACTACCGTCTGTTCCTAGACCTCTGTCAATAGTTGTGTCTGAGGCAGACTGAACAGGCTCTTGAGCCCCAGGAGGACTTTTGGGTTCTGGACTTTTTACTACTGTCAAAGGTGAGCCAGTCTGAGTTTCCTGGTTACGGTACTGGTTTCCAGGCCAGGACCCAGAGTAGCACAACTCTTTATCTTGACTGGCTTGGAGAGCCCAGGCATCTATTATCTCCTTCCTTAGAGGAGCCCTCTTGTAGTTCCTCATTGAGAAAGTGCTGCTGGTGTGAAAGTGAGAGTAGTGGGGTGTTATGGGCATTTCATTCACTGACTTGCTCCGCACATTGGGGCTCTCTTTGAGTCCTACAGCGAATATATCTTTGTTGCTGACAGTCAGGCTTGGTATTGTCTCATTATTGTTCTGGTCTGCTGGTAAGTCTTTGCTAATGTTAGTCGGTGTGTGAACAGGGACAGACACAAGGCAGAAGATGGTCTCACTTACTCTTCTCTTTGTGTTCTCTGGCCGTGTATCTGGGACAATTTTTTTTACTTGGGTGATGGTTTCTGCAAAGACCTTATCTGAGCTGGACCCCTGTCGAGAAGAACTTCTTGATAATGGGGCCTGGAAGGCTGAAGAGGGAGATGGAGGAGGACGTGGGTTTTTGGGGTATCTGTTGTTGCAGTTTTGGTCCGTTGCTGGGAAGTTATCAACCGCCTCTTTGTGCAAATCACTGTGCCACCTGTTATTGTCATTGTCCCTAGAAGACGTTGGGTTGGCATCATCGGCCAGTTTGGCTGAGATGAAAGGCCCCAATGGCGGGGGCAAAAAGGCACTGTCGCTGGATGCAGGCTCCGACACGGTGACGCTGGGAAGCTCGTTGCGGATGTGCCGGATCTTGTCAGCGTCCGTCAGGGAGTTGCCACCCAGGGCTGAGGAAATATGGCGGATGCGGGGGTCATCAAAGGGGATGTATTGAATCGCTCCACCAGGCCGCTGTTGGGTCATATACATGGGGTAAAGCTGCTTCTGGCTAGACATTATCCTTTCTCTCTGGTGATCAGGCCAGGAACCAGCTGGATGTCTGAACCAGTGAGAACCATCTGGAGCCACTTGTATCTGCTGGTACACATCCCCTCTGTACCTAAAAGCAAAAAGAGCACAGTTTTTTTGTCAACAATAAGTGTTTTTGCCGAACATAACATCTATTTGAAAATAACTACACAAATCTGGCTTAGGACTTACATATAGGAAAGTAGGGCTGAACGATTAATATACATTTAATAAAAACTGAAAAATGGCACAATATGATAAAGAAATGTCAAAAAATTGCTCCTCACAAAAAATGACACAATGCTCATATAAATATATTTTTTTATCTTAGAACAATCAACCACGCTGATGATGTAAGTGATCCTTTTGAAAACCCTTTTAAATATCAGTATGTTTTCTAAATGTTTCAACCCTATTATGTAGGCTTTGTCACATTTTTTAAATATAGTACCATGTTATATTCATAGGCTAGGTGAGATGTCACATACAGGATTAAGGAATGTACATAGAAAGGGGAAAAAAAGACTTACCTGTAGTCAACAGCAATTTCACCATATCCCCGACACGCCCCTGCCATCAAAGGAGCTCTTCTGTAAGATGGGGGAGCGATGTATCCCGGAGGTTCAGAGTCCTGTCCATAAAAGTCCAGTTGAGGGTCATCTATCCTTTGTATTGGAAGTGGCGTTCTGTCCCTGGCATGGGAAATCACTGAGTCTCTCCCAGACAACATCTCACAGCTTCCCCTGATCTGCTGGTGCATCTCATAAGAGGGAGGTCTGGGGGGTCTCGTGAAGCGGGGCTTTGGTGTCATTGAGAGTTGGTTTGCGCTAGCCGGCCTGCCATTCTCCGGCCAGCGGGGTGCTCTGTAAAAGTCATGTTGTGATAGCGGGTGGCCATTGACCCGTCTGTACAGTTCCAGACTGGACGGGTCTATGTCCACGAATTGCAGGCTCTCAGGCTGCAGCATCCTAGGCAGGGACTGGGATTTGGCTTTGGTCCTTGGATGGACAACCATACCCTCTGGTGTCCTGGCATGGAGTCGCTGCTGCTCATGTGCCCAACGCTCACCCTCACTCTGGGACAGCTGGCGACTAAAGCTCACGGCTGGACGCCACTCATCTGTCCCCAGGCTCTGACACTTCCTCTCATTCGCCATCCTCCACTGATGGAGAGCAGCTTCCCTCTCTCTAGAGCGAGACTGAGCCTGGACCTGGGCATGAGCCTGCACCTGAGCCTGGGTCTGGGCCGCCCAGCGCTGCCTCTCCTGAGCTGCTCTCTGACGCTCCTCTGCAGAAATCTCTTGGCCTCTTGCTTGCTGAGACCCCTCCGGCCTGCTGCAACCCCCCTGGCCCCCCCCATGGGGGTCTGCATAGTCCAGTAGTACAGTGAAGTCCTGGCCTCTCCTCCTCCAGTAGGACACATCCTTGGACTGTGCCTGAGGACCTCTGGTGCCATCACAGAACCTGTAGGGAAACAAAAACAAAAAAGGTGCCATTATGTTTCAAACAAAGTGCTTGTTAAATGATTAAATACAGTCTAAAATAGCCTTTCCTCAGAACATCAGAATTGAGTTCTTGTAACAATCTGACAATTAGCTCACTTTCCACAGCAATTGGCTGTTGACTGTGAAGAGTGATGAATACCTTTCACTTCTTGCAGACAGATGTGTGGGAGTAAAGGGTCCAGAGTAAAAGGAGAAAGTGAGTATTCCCACACCTTTTTTCCCACACACGTTTACTTGCAATGAAATGTATTGATTATACTAAATTGTATTCCCTAGATCTTCATCCCCTTCAGCCCTATGAAAACATTGAATACAAATAATAACAACAATTACATACAGGGTAACAAAGTGCTACAAAAGATGAGAAGAGGCAAATAACTAATAACAGTCTACAATGTGGACAAATAATAAAGAAAATCATCTCCCACTAGATGGAGACATATGACCATGAGTTACCATGCAGTGTCTGGTAATTGTGATTTTCTATGGGGCATAATGAACACATTACACAATGATACACAGTGGCTGTTAGTCCCTGATTTCCTCCAAGACAAATCAACAATTTAGATGACGTTTCGTTGAGAGGCTTTCTATTGCACTGTTCTGTAGCTCCTTATCTGAGAAAATGAGCAGCATTTCTCTAAACCAGTTCAAGGATATCTCTCAATTTATCTCTGAAAATATGTTTAATGGCAGATCTGATGGGCTACAACGGGATGCAAGGGGTCCCTGCACGCAGTCTGATCATTTCAGGCTATTTGTGGAGTGACTGACTGACAACGCAAACAAGACGCCAGCACATGTGTACACCGCCTTGAGGCCGAGGCCACTGAGCGTCCTTGACATTTCCATCCATGATCACTGGGCAGAGATGTTTGTTGGGGGAAGGGGGGCTAGCCATGCCAATCCGCTGAATTTGAGGGCATCTTACGTAAGATGAGTTACCATCATTAGCCTAATTGGGTCTAAGTAGCACTGTCTAATGGGAGTGCCAAGATACAGTAGGCCTGTTCCTTATCTAAACGTAAGCTTCTAGGCAAAATGGATTTGGATGAGAGGGAATAAAGAAGGATGAACAAATAACAGACTGGAATCGTAGAACATATGTCTTAGCAAGTCCCACATTCCCAATAGAAATCTCTGATAACACTGGCAGGGCCGCAACATGAAAATGCGGATTACTCGTCTCAAAGAATATAACCATGAGTGTGAAAAATGAAAAAAACATTATCACAACCAGTGACATTATTCAAGGTCATTTGACTATTTTCAGATGCTTTGTCACTGGCTTGTGGCAAAAAGAGGATTAGGGAGAAAATAGTCAGCCCAAACAAAATGTAAAGAAAGGGACAAATATGACAAGCCTGCCTAATAGTGTAGACATTGGAACAGCTGTATTGACTTTGTCTCAGTTACAGCACACCAACCCCCAGAACTGGTGCAAATAGGCAAATTAAACAATGCTGCTTTCAGGAGAAAACAGATTGGCTGCAGCTAGGCGATATCTCTGGAAATATCATACGTTCTAACTGCCCCTACCCAAGAGGGTTTCAATTGCATAACTCCAGACTAAGCTAAATATAGCCTATCCTCCATATGCATATTTAAATACGGCCTATATGAATCCTGTATTATTGATGGGGTCTGCCTTATATAAGTAGGTATAATGCTTATGAAACAGTAGAAGCCGGTCGGTATATTGGTTATGCTCGGGGAGAGAATCAGGCAGAATACACCATCCTGACAAAACAGTAAATCTTATGTGAGTTAGATCAGGCTTGCTGAAATGGGGCACATGTATAGGTTTGCCCGAAAGCTGTTTTGATTAAAACTCCAAGGTCCCATGTGGCAGATTAAGACTCCAACACACACTATCTCTCTTCCCAACGCACAAGACTTGTGGAAGAGGAAGAGAGAAGGGAATAGAGATGAACAGAGAGGAAGTTAACACAAGAGATAAGACAGAACCAAGAAAAAATGTGCCAGGAGGGGCATTTAAGTAGAAGTATTCAATGTGATTAATATGCTCCATCAAAGCACCATAACAATGAATAATTGAGTAATTCATCAATAAGGATTGAGGACGACCATAATCAGAATAGGGCATGCGAAAGGGTCGATCAGACAGGAAATCATGACTGTTCTTACAGTACGGCGCACACTATCTCTTACCCGCTGTCTGAGGTCAGCGACTCCCCCAAGGAGTGGGTGTCCATTTGGCTCCGGCCCTCGCCCTCCCGCCTCGACAGGCCTCTGTCCCTAGGTTCATTGTTGTTGTTGGGACAGCCGCTGGCGTACGCTTGGGGCGGCCTGGTTCCGCCTCCGTTTCCAAAGGGCATCCCAGGCCCTCTTTCATAGCCATTTACTGCCTTGGGGCCGGGCCTGTTCTCTAGGATTTCATGGTGTTTGCTGTAGGACGGAGGTGAGGACGAGGGAGCCTGGTGGGACGTTGACGCGGGGGCTGGGGTAGGGGTAGAGGAAGGGGTGCTATGCTTGGGCAGCTTGTATCCATGAGAGATGAGGAGGTCCTCCACGCTGTACATGGTCGCATTTGTTTATGCTGGTGTGTTTTCTTTTTTCCCTCTCCCAGCCTTTTCTTTTTTTGAGAGAGAGAGAAAGGTGGGTCGGTTGTCAAGGCGTCTCTGCTTCTTCCCTACATGCAGCGGCAGGATCACCGGCACAGCTGCGCAGCTGAGGCCATCACTGGGAAAGAAAGAGAGAGGGGGATGACATCAGGAGACAAGAAGACAGACAGAGAAAAGAAGGTGACGCTAAAACCATTACACTCGCTACCCGTGTCCCATTTTTGTCAAGGTTCCCAACCCATATGGACAGTTGAAACAAAAAAAGACCCCAAAACTCGAATTCTGAGCCGCCACGACAAAAACGATATCACCCGGCTTCCCAGCAGCCCGTCCCTCCCTCCTCTCTTCTGTGCTGCTCGTAGCAACAAACCCCTTTCCATCTCATTCGGAAATCACTGGCACCAAAACCCATCCATGTCCAGAACTAAGTAGTAGGGGAAGGTAAACAAACACCCTCAAAGACAACCCTAAATAGCATGATGATCAGAGGCAACTAGAGTTTCAGAAGGCTGCCGTGCTCCAGTGAAATGTCACTGTTTACAGTGGTCTCCCTGCAGACTTCCATAGTCGCTGTAAGCAGCCAACCACTGCTAATGTTTCGCATCAATGGGGCAACTGGATGATTGTATTTACCTCTCTGCTCATTGTAGCATGCTCACTCTCAAAAATGTATTTTATCTCAAAGGTGGGCTTGGTTTTTTCGGACACTGGACATTTTTTCAGCTATACAGTCTTGGATAAGGGTTAGAATGTTAAAAAACTATAATCTGAATCAAATAAAAAAATCAATAAACAAATTATACAAAAGCAAACAGGATGTGGACAAATTATTCAACATGCCCTCTCTTATGGTGTGTGTGCGTGTGTGTAGAGTAATGTAATGTCATGTAATGCAATGTAGAGCTGAAATTATTAGCCGTACAGAACATGTAGCTGGTATGTAATTTACTTGCACAAATGTTTAAATGTCAATGGTCCCAGCTCCTTGAATGGGAATTTCTTCTATAAAATGCAATTGCATATATTCAGTTTTTCTTGAACCGGTTGGACTAAAAATGCCTTGTAATGATGTATTAGCATACATTTAGAGAAAATAATATCTCACTTAATCAAGGAAATCATTGACATTACTCAATAGTGAAAATAATACATCGATGCAACCACTCGCTTTGTGTTTTTGTTACAAGCACCCATGCTGTGAGTGTTTTAATTGGTCTTGAAGGTGGTTAAGTTGTTGAGGGACACAAGATAAACAGATAAGCAAGGGATATTACAAATAACATACATTTTATAGGTGGAATAGCATTATGACCTTTGCTTTCGGCCCAAAAAATGACATTAATAATAATGACTGATGAAGAATTGAATTGATGAGGGTGCATTTGCTTATGATGTAACGGCCTTGATGAAGTCATGCTTTCTGCCTTGTCAACAGGACAGATGCTGCTGCAGCCCACTCATTCAATACTCTTCACTGGAACATACTGCCAACAACCTGGCTGTCCTTAATAAGAAATGGCATTCAGGAACAGCAGTGTGAGACTCGTTGCCAGAATGAAAATGCTGTTCAGACAGTTTAAAAGCCAATCACACTATGATTGCTTAATGGCACCTCTAAAATGGCTTGTTTTTGCTTCTGAAAAACAGACGGCCGACACAGCCTCACTGAAATGTATTCAGCTGCAAGCAGATTAGCATTTGTTTTGCTTCTTAGCATTTGTTTAGGCTTGATCGTCCCACAGAGATGACAAAATTCAACTATGAAAGGAGTCCTGACTCAGAGGGCAGCGTCTCTTCTGTTCTCCTTTTTTCCTCCAGCGTCATCCCTCATCCCTACCCCCACCATGTACCTGAACCCTAGGATAGACTACTTGGTGATTAACAGGATCCAAGACCGTGAAATGCCGCTCTCTTTGTATGTCTGGCTCTCTAATACGATTATCTTTTTCATTTAAAACCTTAAACCTGTTAGCTTTGGAGGATTGACTCTTGGCGCTTACCCAGTTAATACTTTTGTTGAGTTTAACTCTACCCATTGACGTTTTGAGTAATCTCCTCAAGGAGAGGGAAGTTGTGAGTTTGGCAGGGAGGTTCTTGAGAACACAGTAAAAAAATGGGTTTTCTTTATTCGCGTCCAGATTAGCATGCAGAACTCGGATAATATATATATTTTCATTGACTGTTATTTCATGAACTGCAGTTGAACTTGCTGGGCAACAGGCCAGTGAACATGTTAAAAAAGGCACAGTGTCTGTGAAATACTTACAATGCAGACAAAATGGAGCCAAAATGTTAATATCGGTGGTCATTTGTCACTACAGATTATTCAAAGTAACAAGAATATTTCTCTAAAATGTAAACTCTGTCCCTCTATGCTTTACATTAACAACCAAAGCCAGGTCTCCCTACAGCTTTAGAGAAACCCATATCAGACTCAACGATCAGTGGCAGATTGGTATCACCACCCTTTTCTATCTGTAGATGAAGCCAAACCCTCCAACCGGGCAAAGGTTTTAATTGATTGAGCTTAAGGTTAGTGGCTATGTTCATTTATATGATAATTCATTTTTGTTATGATCGTTGCACATTAACCTGTTTTGACTGCAAATCCATATGATCTCTAATCTAGCTAAACCCTTAATCTAAGGCAATTGCTTTTGGTGTCATCACTAAATGAGGATTATCTCTATCATCAGTAAAAGTGAGGATTTCCTCCTGTAAAGTGACCTGCTCTCATTCATTCCTCCACCACTACCCCACCCCTACTCCTTCCTTCCCATGACAAGCCCCGTTTAAATACTGCTAATACTGTTACGCAATGAAATTACCCATTTTATATCAAATAAAACCTCGGATTCCAGCAACGGTATGCAACAATGGTCGGCTTTCATTCCTCTAAACACAACAACATTGTGTTTCGCTACAATGCCTTCTTGTATGGCTGGCATTACAGGCTCTTGAATTCGGCAACTGGAAGAAAAAAAAGTGGCAGATCTTCTGTATTTTAAAGACACGGCTCGCTCAAAGGGAGAAATTAATGATACAGTTTATGGATGTGCTGAAAAGTAAGCTGAAAATAAAAAGAAACCACGAGGGCCAGCGTTTCCCTACAGACGACCCTCACAACAGCCTCCGCATTTTCTCTAATCAGCCACTGTACACTAGTACTGTAATTTACCTTTTTCTACACAGTGAAAGATATAAGACCTCTGCTTTTGACATCAAGTGAACTTTTGTCAAGGCCACGACTTGTTTAATAAAAACAGAAACAAGCATTCTTAAGCTGTTTTAGGGGGCCTGTGCCCTTACTAGTGGCTAAACTAACGGAAAGCTGCAGGGGCATGATGGCTTGCAGGTTGACAGTTTGGTGTCAGCTCCTTATTTATGGCCCAATTGAGATGAGGGCATAGTGGGGAGGTGTGGAGGAAGGGAAGCAGAGGGACAGCATGGGTGGCAGACAATGCAGGACAGAGACCTAGATCAGGCCTTTGGGAGAGACAGTAGTGCAGAGCCAGAGGGTGTTCAGTAATAGACCAGATTTCAGGCTGGGTTACATACTTTGAAAATAAACTGTATAAGAGGCTTAAAATAGGAAAACAGAAGATGTTCGGTCAAAAACATATTGAAAAACAGTGATACATGTTGTCCTGAGTAGACACTGAGATGTGTTAAAATAGCATGTGCCTCCTTAAAGTGATGAAATACAGACAATAACAAATCTGGATTTTACAGGCTCCAGCCTAAAATCACCACAACAAAAGAAATCTTATACGCCAGAGCCTGGAACCAAAAGGACGATTAGCCTGCTTCCCAAAATATTCCACAAGAGCCGCACCTCTCCACCACATTGTTCCCAGTCTCCTTGGATCTATAACAACTGACCCGAGTGGGTGTGTACTTGGCTAGTCCCCGGTCTGCATCTGTTAGGACTGTGCACGCACAGGGATTTCTCAGGGATGACAGCCCATCACATTCAGCAAACAGCAATGGTACGCAGATTGTTTATCTATGTGACATCACTGTGTCCAGCAAAGGGGACGTATCTCTTACTGAGGAAGTACGTCGCTGTGAGGACAGAGGAGAGCCGACGGTGTCGCAAATGTTTCCAATCAGGCTCTCTGCAGGCTCTCGTTTGTCCTGGGGAAAGAAGTTGGAGGCCTGTTTTCGGCAGGGCCGGAGAAATAAACAGCCAAACAACCTCGGCCATATTTTTCCCTCACTGACCTCGGGAAAGCACAATGTTCTGCACTTCAGGTGGACTGTAACTCAGCAACATAAAGTGATATTATCTGGGGAGCTATCTGCCCTCTGGACACTGGCAATCTATCAGAAGAATCCCACTGGGCTTGGGAACCATTCAACTGTAGTTTAGGGCAATTATGACCTTTTGCAATGGGGAGAAATTGAAGTAGAAGACCTCTAAAACAGGTTTGTAAACTAAAAAGGGGAAATCTGTTTACAAATGATGGGTAACAACAAAAATATTTTACTATCCATTCCAAAATCACCACGTTGCAACCCATGTGCTTTCACTATCATCCACACCCTTGTAGTAGAGAGTAAAAACAGGCAGGGCCCGTGCGTTGTGAGTCAATTAGCTCATGTGGAAAGGTTTAGCCAAAAAACACCCACTTTTTATTTTTTTATTTTTTTGGTTGAGCATATCCCATGGCAACAGTTGTTTTGCTTTTGTGAATGGCAGCTCCAAGACAATAGCATGCGGGCTGTTAAAATATTCCTGCTGCATTGCTTCAGTCCAAAACTTATTACAGTCAGACTCTACTGGCAGCGAAATCAAAGGCAGGATGGGATGGGGAGTGGGGGGATGTTTTTATTCCAGCATACTCCAACACATCACAGTCTGAAACAGTACAGTCTGGTTCTGATTCATTTCAGACTGTCAAAAAGTACTCTAAACATTTGTCTAGTGCAGTATCAGTGTTTGAATCCAAAGCAAATTGTTAATAAAAACTGGCTCACGCACAAGAGCAGTATAGCTAATAGCTGATTAATGCACAAGGCTAAGCTGTGCAGCAACCAGTAAGACAGTGACGATGTAGGGTAATTATATCAATGGACTCATTTTCCATTGTAAAGCAGGCTTAGCTCAGTTCAGCTGAAATGCAGCGATTTGACGTCATGAGGTTTCCTTCAACTGATCCAACACTCCTAATATACAGAGGGAGATTCAGGGCAACACATTGGCTCCAAAACACAACAGCTTATTTTAATTTAATATATTTAACCTTGATTTAACCAGTCATTAAGAGCAAATTGTTATTTAAAATCTTAACATTTTAAAATCATTACATAAGAGGAACAAAAACAAAACATAAAAGAGGGTTAGTAGGCACGCTAATCCAACGAGGCACTGTTCTGCAGCACAGTAGGCTTCACCTGCACTGAACTACTCCCAACTTCATGGTAATTAGTGTCTGTCAAGGTCCAAAGCTTGCTAGAAATGACAGTGGCATGGTTTATCAGCCAGAAACACAGTGATCAAAGGGCTAGCACGCTTTGGCTTCCTGCTAATCAGATGGACTCAGCATGCCTGTTGCACAGTATTATGTAGGAAAGGTAATAAACAACCCAACGTGAATATATTTTAACAATCAAAGAGACCACGCTTCATTAAATAAGCCTAAGCACATCAAAAGTATGATGTTTAAAGACAGCTGATAGGACGTGGCAACGACAGAGTTGACGGATGACTGTGACGCAGATCACAGGTGGGATGAAAGGGCTCTCCCACGCAATGTAAGGAAAGTGTTGGAAAAGTGCTATGTAAACACATGGAAATGAATGGTCAGGGTTACCTCAAGGGCTCAATCACCACACTGGCATAAAACCGACACGCAGAAATCACAAAGCAGGCAGCTGAACCATCTGCCAAACATGTGAACATCAACCTGCTAGCATATAGGACATGACAGTATACACTCAATGTGCATGCAAGCCTTTTCATTCTTCACATTCTCCGCCCTGCATTCACACTGTGAGAGGCACACTGGCAGATGTCAGTTGCTTTCACACGTTTCTGGCTGGCTTCATCCACCAGCCTCTTTTCCTCCTGCCTGCGTCACCTCTGCTCTGACATCACATGTGACATCAGGCAGGACCTCCGAGGGGATCCCTGTAACTGGGCAAACATCGGGTGACTTTCAAAGGCTTTTTGCTATCCAATGGCGGAAAAACTCATTTTCGTGATGCACTTGGCCTAGAAATTAAACTGAACACAGAGAGCTTAAACAGCTACTGCGCACACACTCAATATTACTGGAAATGGAAAGTCTAGCCTTGGGATAACCAGACTGCCTGCAACACCAGGAAGTTATCCAAGCCCACACTTATCGCAGGCACTTTGGACCACTCCTGAAAGTTGAACTGGTATGACTCATTTCATAGCCGTGGAGGGCCCCTCCAGTTTCGCTGACCAACCCTTTCCTCCGCTGCTGGAAGGAATTAATGAGCTGCTTCCCTTCTTAATATGCTCCCCTTCCCACCATACCTCACCCCCCTCAGGGCATCTAGCAGGGCCTTGTGTTCACACACCATCGCGGTCTCAAGGATGTGTGAAAGACCAACCACAGAACACACATGGGCCTACGTACACACGCACCTACGATTTTTGTGTGAAAATGCACACTAGCTGGTGCTGATCTGTGCTCTGTCTTGCAGTATGTTTGTCTTTATAATTAATCATCTGCTGTTATCCACAACTCCTGCAAACTGTCAGGAAAATGCTTTTTTACTGACATTGACTAACAGCTTTTGATGTAAGCTCACTGAGCTATGAAAAGGTTTTGGCAGGAAGGAACAGAGCACTCCGGGCTATGTTAATAGAACTTCCTTAAATACTATAAGTAACACAACCTAAAATAATCAGACCTGAGGCCATGACACATCAGCTCAAATAAGACATGGGGATACATTAAGAAAACACCTACTTAAGATGATGGTACTCCATGCAGAAACTTTATAATAACTGAGTGATCATTTTGAACAGGCCAGGTGAAATATTAGCTTTGACAATGTGGCCTCTAGAGGTCCCTCGGTGACAATAACAATGTATGTGCAAGACCTTCTCAAATTAAAGCAATTAAGCAATTGCAAACACTGTGGCATAATTTGAGGTGTGAGTTAACAATAGCCTAAGTGTTTTATCCATCCAGTCTTGTAGGCTATTCATTATTACTAAAGGCTATGCTGTTAGACATGTTCAGTCCAGCTATACATATTAAATGCAATGCAAATCTTAAATATAGCATATTATTAACCAATTAGAGCAAACTGGCTGTCGGATGGCTGTTTTGACGGTATGCATGCAAGGTTGTGAGCAGTGCATGCAGGAGGCTGCATGGGGGAAGGAGAAGAGAGGTCAAGCAGCAGCCATCATCATGCAAACAGCAGGTGTGACAAAGTGACAGCATGCACACATCAAAGCAACCTTAACTTGGCATACCATTTGCCAAGTGCCGTTTGCAGCTCATTTCCATCGCCATTTGGTGTCCTCAAGCATCCACGCAGAACCGAGAGCTACACGTTACTGGACCCGAGTGTTGTCATCATGTCGTTACGAAATGATTGACAGGCTTGGCATGATGCTAGCCCCGCTGGTTCCGTTTGCTGCCGTAGCATACTAGCCTAGCCCAGATGCGCGCAGATCACAGATGCAGGGAGAATCCACGCCAAATTCCGTTAAAACATCTGCCCGTTCAGGGGTCCGTTACAGTAAGGAAAGGATGCGTACCTAATTACCCACACTTAAGATCTTCTATGGATCAAAATAGGTCCAGTTTTGTATTCGGCGGATGGATGACCCACTATTCAGACTGTGTTTCAATGTCTGTTTTATAACTCCAACTGCTTACTGTCGCCCACCACAGCACATTAAGGATGGAGTCCCACTGAGAAAATGTAAGGCAAAGCAAGTCTACAAGTTAAAAATGTAATACAACAAGTAATTGTGGAGTATCACAAAATGCCAACCGAATACAAGCCATGGTCTGGAGGTTTCACTGCGCTCCTAAATTAGTGTTTCTTTCGATATAAATTACTGCTCGAAAGCTAAAACGGCGTAATTTGAACGGAGTTTGGCCTCTCTTCCAGAGCAATATAACGGCTCATAAGGGGGCTAACGCTAGCCGGGCTAGCTCCATCAGCAATCTTTAACCTTCAGCTGATAGAAGCGCGTCCGCAAATAGTGGCAGTCGCCCCCGCAGACGCTTCAAGTTAAGGCACAAACACCGCCATCCTCTCACTCCTTCACCTTCTAATGTCGCATGGTGAAAGTCCTAAATCCTCTTATTCCGGCGGAGGAGGCAGGGACAGCCGGACAGGAGAGCACCGAGGAGGCGGCAAGTTGAGGGACAGCTGAAAATGTTGAACGAAGAGCAGATGGGACTCTCAACCTCTGTGTAGCCTTTTTCCTCAAAACAGCTCCTCAGCCAAACGAATGGGACGTGGAAATAAAATAAAAACAGAACCCCAACGAAAGCCTGAATTAAACACGGTGTGTCGTTGGACCTGGCGACACTCTTACCTGTGAAATGCGTTGTTGCTTTGGCACCTAGTCCCCAGCGCTCATCCCCGCCGCTGCTCTGGACGGACTGAGCTGGGATCTGCTGAGGGAACAGCCCCTACACCACGGCACAGACTGAGGAAACATCCCTCCTCTCCAGCGGGGAGGCAGCTGGATGCTGCTCAGCGATAAGGCTGATGTTGAAGGCTATAATTCTACCCCCCGGACTTGCGTTGTTTCTGTAAACACAGGCAGAGTTTCAATAATGAGTCGATTAATCAATAAGCAAAAAGTTATCCGCAACATTTCCATAATCAAAATGAATTTAAGTCAGTTTTCAGGGGAAAAAGTGTTATGATTCAAGGTTGTGGGAAATGAGTCTATACATGGGCTTTTATAATTAAATGACATTTACTGTCTATAAGTCTAGGCCTATTCATTAGAAAAAGCCTTAGGCTAAAGCCTGTAACATTTATTTACAGCACTTAATGAAGCTTGGTTCCTCTTGTTTTGATTATTTACGTAATAATGTGTTTTTGATAACAACCAATAAAACCCACACATTTCAATGACTTACACACAAACACACACACACACACACACACACACACACACACACACCCCCACGCACACACACCCTAGGGAAGGGAAGCAAGTCAGAAGTTCTCACTTATTTGTTCATGGCACGACAATGTCTACAAATCTGCCTTTTTATTATTTTGTTATTCGTATAGAATCATTCATATGCATATGTTTGTTAATATAGAACCCAACAAAATGAATAGTCATACTTAAAAAAAAATAGAAAGAATAACACAAATCAATATGAAAGTTGAGTCGTGATATTGCAAAACAGGGGCAAACTTTGGTCCACTTTTTTGTTTTGGTTCTCCTGTAAGGTTTGCCAAAACCTGCTTTACACCCCTCTGGCTCCAGGCTGTAGAGCTGAAATCTCTACTCCCTTTCCACCTCTTAAAAAGAACAGAGGACCCTAAAACCTCCATAATATTGACACAGATGTTCCATACAACTGAACTCCCCTGAAACGTAGGGAGGCTGGTAGGCTTCTGTTGGCCGTGGCTTGTGTATTCCCTCAGTGGGAATCATTTTAGTTGACTGCCTTTCTGGCCATATACATACTGTACATCTTTTCCTGTCCACTTTGCCTGATCACAGCTGTTAATGTGTCCCCTCTGCAATAATGATCATGTTTACATAGAGTCATCTTAACTTTGAATGACCTGATGATAATCTAATTTCCTGTAAAGCTAGCAATTGTTCCAGTTGTTGACTTTACATATCCTGTGGCCACTAGTGATGGGAAAAAAAGATCTATAATGACTTAATATTGTCAAAGACAGTCATGTTTGAGTTTCCCTGTAACTCTTGTACGCCATTTGTCCGATAGAATGAAGAATGGAATGCAGAAGTTATGACTTTGGACAACATGACATGTTAAAGCAAAGATAAAGTGAGAAAACTGAGAGGAACAAGACAAGAACAATGGAAGTGATATGAGATAGAGTATCTGCTCTGACACAGTAGTTTGGGAAAGCCATATCATTTGATTTGACCTGTGACTTACTGACATCTGCTCAGTATCACTGAAGGTCAACACTTCTTCACTACCCTGCACCCAACTGTCTGGATGTGTCTGTTTTCAATTGTGCCGTACATATGCAGCTCAGATGCAATTCACTGAAATGTGGTGCAGAGATGCTGATGTCACTGCTCCGTTTGCCAATTGTGGTTTTGAGTCTGAACGTTTCTGAGCTTGGTGAGCAGCGCTGCCCGCTTTGGGCTTCTGCAGTTGCCGCTCCCCAATTCCCCAGAACTCTGGTCTAACATCTTGACTCTGTAGCTGTGGTGTGGGGGTTATGCTGATATCTCTCTGCTCTGGAACCTGGGAAAACTCCGACATAAATTCATGAATTTTAAGAGTGGCATTATATACAGGGCGGTAGCAGGATTTCTGACGGAGCAGGAAATTAGAAAAGCTGAGTCTGGGCAAATTAAATTAAAACGACTGAAACTGAAAAAATAAGGACATCTTGATAGAGTTGCAGTCTATATATAGCAAAAACAACAAATGAATTGTCCTGAAATACTTACACATATTGGATACACATATTTATTCTTAGCTATATAACTATACCCTTTTTTAACACATAAGAGCATCAATTCTCTAATTCTGTCAAAAATAAGCGGATATTCATATTTCCAAAAACTACTCTTTTCACTGTTTATAGTAAATACATTTAACCAGATTTAAATAAGGAGTTTATTTGAATGGACAAATTCTTTATGTCTATTATTATCAGACCCATTTAAAGATATTGAGTCTATAAAATACTGTAGAAAAATACTAACCCTAGTCTGATGTAATTCCCAAATTACAGGAACAAATTAGATACTCCTGCCTGAAAATATCTATCATTACATCCAATCAGTGCACATGGTGTATTGTGTAAGCTACCTCTATTTAAGTGAGTCTCAAATCAAAGGTGGATGTCGAGACAGGCTTGCTTCAGTAGCTTTAAATAGAGATCAGCAGGTAATTGGCTTTGGAAGGCTGTAATTGTAGCAATCGTAATGTAACGAGTGTGGCCACCTTTAAAAGCTTGGCATGGGCCAGACAGATGACCATCAGTGGGCTACGGTGCTACCTGGCAAACACCACCCTTTCTGTGATTGGTCTAATTTATGTCCAGCGGTCATGCAGGAGCTGGCTCGCAGGCTCTTATCTCAGCATTTGTTTTTAGTTCTCTTCTGACAAATAACCGATGATGATTTAACCTTTCTTATTGGCAACAAAATAGAAAACTGGCCAGGCCATCTTAAAAGATGCAGGGGTTGTGAAACCATTTCCAGACGGATTTTTATTTAACTTCACCTTGATGGCTCGCTCTTTAAAGAGAATGCCAAAGAATGATTTTATGCTTCAAGTCTATCAAGCTGATTTCAAAGGTTGGATGCTTTTTCATACAGAAAGAATGTGCTAAACTTGGCTCGGCTATAACAACTGCACATTTGTGGGCCTTGTGGACCAAAATTGTCCATTTCCCATCAGAATCCATCTGCAGACCTATAATTAGGATTATTTTAAGAATTCCAGAGTATCCAGTGGTCACTGCATCCTCTGAATTTATCTCACAGAGCCACAGGAGCTGCCCTGAACCCAAACAATCTCACCACACGGTCACATAAACATAAAATCCTTCTGTGTTAAATTCCTAAATACATCACCCCCACCAATGATGAAATTGTGAATCAACAGCAGGAAACCATTGTCAACATTTGGGGTATTGTTGTGCAGTGAGTATGAACATGTGCTCATTGTTTACAACTCGGTAACACTGCTGTCTGTCTATAACAAAATGTCTGGATAACAATGTCATTTGAAAACAAAATGTGTTATTCAGACATCACATGGGGATGATTCATTTCAAATACTCTGAGAAGGAGTGAGCTCACTTCATCACATCCTTACACTGGTTATCTAATCTACTCAGTTTCTTCCTCCGGACAGCTTTTTATTTTTCTAGGCTGGGATCCAATTGCAACTGGTCAGCAACAAGCAGGGAGACATTTAGGAGAAAAGCGATGATATTTAAGGCAATCACATACCATCCCATGCTGACACCCACAGAAGTGCTGCATTTTCTCAAAAGTAAAGGCCTCTTCTCACATCACACAGCCGTGATAAAAACCTGCTCTGCACAACTGAGCAAATCCCTAAACAGATGGGTTTTGACGGAGTAAAGTGCCTACCGTAACTCAGCCCAGATGTGGAGAGGGCCGGACTGTATGAGGTCTGAGCCTCCCTAGTGATATCACACCACCCACAGGCATCTGCTCAGGAGATCTGAAGGGCCGACCGGGGATTTCTTTGTGTTTTGGTCCAGCCGTGCATCGAGGTTATTGTTGTAAGGTAAAAGATCTGTGGGGAAGAGGGCATGCGGGCCACTCTCAACACATGAGGATCATGTAAAGCCCCCTCACCTCTGAACCCGTGGTGTGAACAGCTGCCTCGTGTTGATACAGAGATTCACTTTGATCCACCTTGATCCGGATTCATGCACACAACTGTTTTCATATTGTAGAGAGGAGTCACTTTTTCATCTACCTGGTTTTACGATCTACCTGTTTAAATGAAATATTCTCCGACCAGGGCAGGATTAACCCGCTGCCAGATAAAGGGGTAAAAAGTGAGTTACACCCTGCAAGCCTATACTAAAAAATGCATATACGTATTAAAGGTTTCAAAATAGTTGTATGTTGACCGACAAAACAGGAGGGTCCAAATGCAAAAGTTTCCTTAAAGCCCTTACTGTTTCAGTTTATATTACATCAGTACATGAAAATGGACCTGGGGAAGTTGCCAGATTTTTCAAGTGTGTTTTAAAGCATGTCACCAAAAGATACTCTTACAATTACATCACCAATTTGTGATGATCCATGCATTCCAGAAGTTATTTGGGGATTTAAAGATGTATTTTACTCTTGTCATTCTCAATATCCCTAAAACTGGCTAATACTACTTACTAAATGAGTTCCTGCATTTCCCAGAGAGCCTTGCAACAATTCCCTTAAGCAGTGTACCTGGCAGGTAGGTCTTTAGAATACATGACAGTGTAAGCTTTCAGTATGAAAAACAAAGTTAATCCAGACTCCATTGACGAAAACAGAAATATTAACTTAGCTTACAGAAAGTCCAAGGAGTCTACCTCTGCCTGTGTGTGTAACTTTGGTGAGTCTGAAACTAGGCTCTTAAAAAACCAAAGTCACACAAAAAGACAAACAAACTAACCATTCGAGGCTGCAGCAACTTACAATAACATTTCTTTAAAATGGGAGTCTGGTGGCTTTTGAAAGGAGAATGGATATCAACCACATTTCTAAAATGGAAAGGCCTGTCTGACCAAAGGTAGTGCGATGAAATATTCTTAATATAGCATGCACTTAAACTGATAATTACATTTTTAGATGGCTAAAATATGCTGCTGCCCTCATCTACAAGAGTACTTTGCTGTCACACCAGTACTCCTTTCTATTTTGCAACGTATCAACCACAATCTACTGAAGCCAATATACTGACTATGGATAACAAAAACATCCCTTTAACACCTCTTTCTGCAAATGAGTCTA